TTTGCTGATGTTCTCACCTGAATTCAATCTGGAATGAGAACTCTGCAAGACTTCTGTTTTATCTTGAATTCAAACATAAAAATTCAATTATTTGCAGGCAGGTTAATGAGGAGACCTTTTTCCGCTCCTTTGTGTCCTTATTCAAATATTTCGATTTGTGTAATAATAGCACTTCACACCAGTTAGTTGAAAAAGCAGCTACCTTGTACAGTTTAGTTAATTACAAACTAGAGTACGCTAGAGGTCATGTCGCTTGTTGGCCTGACCTAGAATAAAAGTACTGTGGAACCAAAGATTGTCTTATCCTTGACGTCCGTATAAGCTCGCTCGAAGTAGGTCTCCGTGTGCCAAGAAATCGTGACGAGTTTCCGTTCTCGCTGCCGAGTGGTCTCTACCGAGTTATTTTCCCCCAGTTGTTATTGTGCCGTCCGCGAAGATTCAGTTTCCCAGTTTAGGCGCGGAAACCTTATCGTCACATAATGTGTTGACAAAATTTCCCTAAATTATGGTGCCGATACGAATCTATCATTCATAATCGCTTATGAAATTCCGAGACTGAACTTCAATGAATTTAACAGAAATATCCTGGAAGGTTACAGAAACAGACTCTCAAAAACTGTCCTTGAATTCGAAAACTGTAAACAGCAATTATTTACGCGAACCATGTGCTTACCAGCGCGCTTGTGAGGTCAAATTGCCAGAACCCCGTTTAATTGCTCGATCACAGCTCGGACGTTCCTTGAAAAATGTGATGACTACCAATTTCAGAGATTGATTCTTCAGTTTCCAGGATAAGACAAAAATATCGTATCGCAAGCATGTTCATCATGACGCCTCGAAATGTTGAGCGAAGAGAAAGTGGCTCCATATTTTGTGAGACAAACCATTTCCTGGCGTTCGAGCGAATCGAGTAGAAAGCATGAAAACATAGCGCTGAGAAGTACGACAACCAAACAATTAAATTCACTCATCCCGCTGTAGAACCAACTCCACTTTATCCGTGAGTTTGTTCGCACCACACATTTGCGGTCTGTACATTGATTCTCAGATGTTTGACGGATTCTCATATGACAATATTGTCAAAATCAAATTACGGCGTCAGACTTAATGTAAACATGAACATCACTGACTCAATCTCAATTCATTTAAATTTTGGGAAAGGACATTACTTAGTTTTTAGGGTAAAACAACATATCTTCGGCAAAGCGCGAATTTTTCAAATGAATAGAATAAATCTTGCGATAATTCCGTCTCGCGTTGCTCTTCGTTAGATACTCGCCTTTTTCTTATGCCCTTTATTGTTCTCTTTCGTGTTCCTCTCGCCGTTACTTCTGGACTCGCTTCAATTGTGCCATTACCTTCTCCCTCGCCGTTCCATTACGTGATGGCTAAGATAGTGCCCGTGGTACAGTTGGTCGCGCATGCTAAAAGTAGCAGCTTGTACGGTCGGTCGTACGGTCGCACAACCAGATTTTTCGGCTGATATTTCGTACAATTTTGGGGCTACGCTGCGAGCTCCTTGGTAAGGAATTGGTCACAATTACAAGATGGTAGGTTTAAAGGGTGGGAAACTGGAAAAGCAAAGACTGTTCTAGGTAGGCTAACCTAATAAATTGGTTGTGAAAATTTTGACTCAATTTTACCTGACAAACCTAAACTGAATAAATAGAAACTTGAAATTTATTTCTTCTCCTTTTGAGGTGTGCATCAAAATTTTGAAGACATGGCAGGCTTGAACTACAGGCTTATAAGAAATCTGCATGTGTGTGTGTGTTTTCAACATTGAAAACCGGTAAAAAGGTTGCTTAGCTTTTTTCATTAGTACACATTTCTTTTTCTAACAATCTTGTTTATTTGGCCTATGCCGAGTTCTAATTTTTCAAACAAATTTTACATTCTTTTGAATATTCTTAGATCTCCTAGTATCAGTTAATATTCATGTAATTAAAATAATTACATCAAATCTTGCAGATGTTTGGTACATTTTTCCACTGGACCTACTGACATTTCATCATGCGTAGGGATTGGTATTGGCTATAAATGTAAATATTTGTGCAGAGCCTATGCATCAAATATTTGTAATAAAATATTGTATTCTTCTTAAAACTAGTTTATCAGAATAGGAATGAGTTACCAGGCACAAATATGACTTTCACGATGATAGTTTTCAGGTTTGAAAAAAGTCACTGCCTACTAAAATCCTCAGTTCCTATACCTGAACGGCTCAACCTCATCAAAACATTGGCAACAGGAGCGATTTGCAAATTAACAATACAGACAAGAGAGCCTATTCCCACATACCCCCCTCAATTCTGTTCGCTTACTATGGACATGACATTTCAAACATGGTGTATGTTTCCCTGACCACTTATTTTGTAAAGGTGATCACAAATTATTGGAAAATGGTTGGGTTGAAATATAATACAACGACTTTCCGGTAGATAGTCCAATAAAAACTTTCTACATATCAATGAAATTTATTGTTGTGTTTCATGTTCAACATGTTGCAATGACTCTACCTTCCAGTAAATTCAATTATTTGCAAACATGAGAAAATACCATCAAAAACGTTTCAACCCATTTAAAAAAGCCAATAACATCAACTCAACTTTAAAACTAAAGAGAAAAATTGATTGATGTTTGGAATTGATTGCATTGATGTAAAAATGAAATCCAGGTATTATCTCAAGTTTACCACAAATGTTTTAATAATGACATTTTAGCTCTAACTTGTCTTCTTTTAAAACAAACTTTTGCAGCGCAAGAAACATGTTAAACAAATTTCGTAGTTCACTAGCTAGAGTTGCTGAGATCATGGGCAGTTGGCTTAAAGAAACCTGCATTATAAGTAGTTACAGCAGAGGTTACCGAATCAAATAACAGAAAAATCCTAAAAAGACGCCGTGTATTTCCAGCCAGAGGACAATCTTGAAAGAATAATTGCCAAAAGAGGAAATGTTTTTAAGAAATTACAGCTTCAAACACGAGTTGAAAATGACTTTTCTTTTTAATTTTTACGCGAAACAGAGGAGGTTGAAACGTTCGGGAAAAAATGGTGGGGCAAGCAGTCATACCTGGCAACTTCAAGAGAAGATATAAGAGAAGCCCATACGATTCTGGCGTCTTGGTTTACTAATTCACTGTTATCACGTGTACACTCTTCAATCGACTGCTGATGTCTAAACTCGAAGTAGTTTACCGTCGTTTCTTTCAATTTTGGCTATTTTCCCAAACAAAAATTATCAGTCACGCTCAAAAGAATATAATTTCAATTGATGCTGACATCGCACACTTCCTCTGAAGAAGAAAAGATTCTCTATCTTCGAAAATTTGCTCAAAATATCAGGAACAACAACGAAGATCCTCAGCTGCTTGAAGATACCGCAGACCAGCATGCGTTTTATCGCAAGTTGTGAGAACGTCGTCCCCAGGTTCCAGACCTCGCCAATTCTTCCCTTTCCTCCCCACCCCCTGGACTGGTGTCTTAATCCTCTTGAGAAACTCTTTATTACAGTTTTTATTTTAATGAGGGGCTAAAAAATAAACTAACAAGAGCTTCGCTTTTAGGCTTGGCTAAATCTATATATTACATCAACAATCAGATGACCATGGCGGCTATAGTAACCCATCGTCATGCATATTTTGATTACGATCAGTAAAATCTTTGCTGTTGATGATTTTTTGTACATTGATTGACTGGTAGAATTGTTTTCACCTGAAAATCGTATAAACACGTTTCATATTAACATTAAGATCCTGGAAATATGGCTCAGTAAAAGCATTTCATACGTACAAACCAACAGAAGACCAGTTATAAACAGACTCTGATTTATTCAAATGTGAAAAAGTTCTACGCTTGTTACCTTATTTTGCAGAATATGAAAAAATCCGAGTCTGCCTTTGTGAATAAGTATAAATGAATCAGTCTATGAATTTTTATTTGACAGAGATGAACATTTGTGAATGTTCTTGTAAACACGTTTTACTTGGATCCATCATCGGAGTCCTTCTTCTATTCAATATCATTCTCGTTATCCATGTGGTTTGGAATAACAAAAAAGGTAAGTAATTCTTGGTTTTCCTTGAGGTGCCATCTAATTCTCTTATGCACTTTTTTTCCATAACTTTGCCCTCATCTTTTATTTATATTTTTTCTTTGATAGAAACTGCAGCAAAGCGAAGGTGAGTCTTATTGCCATACGGATTGATTTGTTAAGAGATTCCATCCAGTAAGACGATGGATTGCTCTCTTTAGAGCAAAGCATTTGTTATAGCTCACAATGATAACTAAAATGCTGAAAGCAGATATTCGGATTTCCTTTTAGGTTCTTGCTAATGTTTTATGACACATACAAAAAATGAAAGATACAACAAATAAGATTCAGTATCAGTATGACCAGCTGGTTGGGCAATTAATAAAGTTACCTCTGAGTTTTACACATTTTAATTTCTTTTATGTAATGTTGGTAGAATCTTCAATTTGTCGTTGTAATTATGTATCTGTAGTTTTAATTAAGACTGTAATTTTCTTTATCTTCTTAGACTTGATTTAGACACGACCACATCAACCACGCTAAAATTGTTTTCGTGCGCAAATGAATGCTTTTGATATTATTACAGTGATCATTATTCATATCACAGTGTAGTTTTAAGAAGGAAGAAATTGTATTAATAACATCTGAAGGACTGACTGCAAATTTTCATTTGTGACAATACAATACAAAACAGTGGTAAACATTAAAAATACTTAACCCTCACATTTTGTTTTATTTTAGACCATATGAAGACAGCAGAGACGTATATGATGTAAGAAAAGTTCTGATTATGTTTTTGTTTTTCTCATTTTTATTGACTCTTATGAGAAACAAGGTGACTTAACGTTAAAACGTTAGTGAAAATTTACGCGAAGTTTATACTTAAAAGATAGGAAATTTTGAAGTTTAGATGTAGGGAATTAAAGATAATTTTTCCTTCCTTTTTCTTCATCTCAGAACGAAGTGCCGATGAAAGATCAGGAGGCCGACCGCTCAGATGCAAGACAATTTATCCAGTCTCGTGCAGAATACATGGATCTCAAAGAAATCAGAACCGAACGCAATATCAAAGAACAAAGGGCTCATCAAGTGGCTGATTACACGCCTCTCCATCCATCAACACGCTCTTGGGAGGTGCCAAGGGATCGCGTGTCTGTAGAAAAAATCATTGGTAAAGGTGCTTTTGGTCAGGTTGCTAAGGGAACAGCTGAGCAACTTCATGGGAGGCCTGGGACAATTACAGTGGCTATCAAAATGCTCAAAGGTATGTTCTTTCATATCGTAAAAATAGTTTATATTTAGCTGAAATTTTCATGTTTTTGTTATTGATTCTTACTCTCCATGCTTTTAAGATGCTTCCTACTGTTTTTTTTATTTAACTGTGAGAGTGATAATACTAACAGCATCATACACGCTTGACGCGCGTCCAAATCCTATACACTGCACGTGTGCAGTCCGCTCCTCTTTAAATGGTTTCTTCTAAAGCTAAATTTGAATGATCGAATTTTGAATGGAGTTTTGGAAGTCAAAAGAAAAAAATTGTGAAGCATCGATTCCTACATTAAATGGCAACACAATCATAACTGCTTCAATGAATAAGGAAAGTTGATTTGTTCCTAGAAATCTTTGCCTAGCATGTGACTAAATTTGTCATTCAGGGGCACCATTTTACCTGTGTTCGCAAACAACAAATTCAATGATCACAGAATGTCTCCCGCAACGAAGATCGGTTTCTCTATTTCCGTTCCTTTGTGCATTTCGATTTCAATGTTTGGCTCTTCTTGAAATGAGAATGAAAGTCAATTTTTAAGTAATCTAATGTGCTGCGGTAAAATTGTCACATGAAAGGAGCTAATTGTTAACTCAAAAGTAAGATTAAACGGAGGGGGGACTGTTGAAGCGAATGATGTTTGAACGCTCAACTTAGCATATTTTTGGACTACAAATTCCCACAGCTATAGCATCTTCATTAAAGAGTACACCCAAATGTATGCAGAGGATGGCAAGCGAGTTAAAATACACGCATTTGGGTGTAAACCACTATACTCGTGCATTTTTCCTACTGCACGCCCTTTACTTTACGAAATTAAAATAATTAATATTTACCACTCGCGCTTGACGCACACGTGAGGTGCTGCAGCACACGCAAAAAGTACTATAAATTTTACCTCAGCTTCCTCTATCAAGTGACATTTTACCGAAAAGATCCCATACTAATGAATGCCGCTGGCGAAATTAAATCCTTTCATATTCTAAGTTGGTTTTATCTCTAGGTAACGCTGCAGAATCTGACAAAAGAGATTTGATGGCGGAACTTGATACAATGAAGCAGCTAAAACCACACCCTCATGTCATCAAACTTTTGGGATGTGTTACGGAATCTGGTGAGCTGATTCATGGCCCTTTTTAAATGCAGTTCATCAAAATTGATTTCCTATTCTTCACTTTCCTTATTTGTATCCCAACCGTTCTTCAGTGATAGAAATGTATTCCGATTCTTCATAGTGATTTTAAGTCTTCCTCCCTCGTAACTTTTTTACCTGACAATTTACCGTAATGTGGTTAAATGATAAGTTGTCTTACGATGTATGTCATGTTTTACAATGCAATAGCACCTCGAGAACTTTGACTGACTTGACGTGGACTCAATTGCAACATCACTTGCAGTAAATTGTATCGAAAACAGCACAGGCGGCGGCAAATAGGTTTTCTCCCCACTTAAGTGGCAGTTCTTTGTTAGGCGGTCGCGTGAACCACTAAGCTCTATTAGAATTTAGCGCTGACTATATAACGTTTCAGTCCCAATTGCAGGCATTTTATATATACATTTTACATATGAAGCGAGGTACCATGCCTTGGTTGATATATGTATATGAGAAAAAAATTATACACTTCGAAAGGCACAATTATAATATACTTTGGTAGTAAACGTTAAATATATATATAGAGTAATCATTTCGCCGGCAAGGGCGATGCATACATATAGGCCCTTACCAGCCTGTTTCGTGATAACTCACTCATTAGGGGATTTTATTGTCAAGAATATTCGTAACCATCGTTTATATACTTTACAAATCTGCATACTAGGCGTGGCGGTAAATTTAAATGCTTTGTTCACTTGTTACGCAGTAACGCTTTGTTTCTGTGGCGGCATGAGGACACGAGTTCATAGCGTTTCTTGAGTGATGATAATTCAGGTCGACAGATGATGAGTAATTTTTCTTTGAGGCAGAGGTTGCATCTTTTGCTCGCGCTGTTGTAAGGTGATATTGATGAAAGGATGCGCCTTGAAGTAAAGCACACGCCGCTTGCAAAAGGCCTAACATTAGATTATCACGGGAGCGTTTGTTTTGTATTGTAGTGACAGTCGAACATTGGAAACTTCATTTAAGTAACTTTACCGGTACTCGTAATTTACATTGTTAATGTTATTGTTAATCCGGGATACCGATACCTTTTAGTGCCCGTCAACACATATGTCAGCGGACTCGTTCTGTGAAGACGCCATTTTGTGAAGTATATGTAGCACGAGGTTTTTGTAGATTAAAGCCTTTAGAAACGAGGCCAAACGTTTGTTTAACTATCATAACAATTTAATCTACAAAAAAAAAAAACAAAACAAAACAAAACAAATGGATAAAGTCCTCAGGCCCGAGAGATACAGCGCCGATCCAAGCACGTCTGGAGCCTCAAAATCGTGGATTCACTGGCGTCGAACCTTCGAAAATTTCCTCGCCGTATTGACGGAAGAAGGCCTCGATAAATTTGGAGTCCTGACAAATTTTATTTCGCCTGCGGTATTCGAATATGTAGAAGAATGTGCCGACTACGAATCTGCAATCGAAACTCTTCAAAATATTTTCGTGAAGCCGACGAACGAAATCCACGCCAGACACGTGCTCGCTACCAGACGACAACAGGTTGGTGAAACTCTAGACGAATATCTTCAAGCGCTCAAAACTCTCGCCAAAGACTGCAACTTTCAATCTGTCACCGCTGCCAAATATTGTGAGGAATATATACGGGATGCTTTCATTACTGGGCTACATTCTAACCAAATACGCCAAAGGCTACTAGAAAACAAAACTCTAGATCTGAAAACGATGTTTGACCAGGCCAGGGCGCTCGACTCTGCCATGCGCAGTTCAGAGAGTTACTCTGTCCCTCAACCTGTCAGCGTTGCAGCCTCAGCACAAGAAATGACCGCTCAGAATCCAATCCAAGTCGACTCTGCTCAGTCAGACTCCACACTCGCTGCAATTGATTCAAAGTGCTTCTTCTGTGGAAATCCTAAACACCCTCGTTCCAAGTGTCCAGCCAGAGATGCAATTTGCAATAAATGTCAAAAGAGGGGACATTTTGCGAAAGTCTGCCGAAGCAAGGCCTCTAAGCCCAGCGAAGTTTCAGCTGCTCTCTGGCCACCTACTCTTGCCACCGTAGGAATTCCCCAATCTCTTAAAGGATCAACTGCTACTGTTGTTGTCAACAAGGTCTGGAGTGTAGAAGCACTCTTTGACAGCGGAAGCAGTGAAAGCTACATACATCCAAGCCTCGTTGAAGTAGCTGCTATCTCTGTTAACCCTTCGGTCAGCCAGGTCTCCATGGCAACATCTTTGTTAAGTACAAAGACCGAGGGCTCTTGCTCTGTTACTATTAACTACCAAGGTCAAACTTATAAAGACTTTCGCCTGTTGGTTATGCCAGGGCTTTGCTCTGATCTGATTTTAGGACTCGATTTTCAGTCTCAACATGATAGTGTCACATTCAAGTATGGCGGAACAAAACCGCCGCTGTCGGTATGTAGTCTCACTACTCTGAACATAGAGCCGCCATCACCATTTTCAAACCTCACTGCCGACTGCCATCCTATTGCTACAAAGTCCAGGCGCTACAGCAAAGAAGACCTAAACTTCATTGGCAATGAAGTAGAACGGTTGCTCAAGGAAGGCATTATTGAGCCAAGCCGGTCCCCTTGGCGGGCACAAGTAGTTGTCACAAAGGATGAGAATCACAAGAAACGCCTAGCTATTGATTATTCCCAGACAATCAATAGATTCACCCAACTAGATGCTTTCCCGCTGCCGAGGATCAGTGATACGATCAACGAAATAGCTCAGTACAAAGTGTTCAGTACCCTTGACCTCCAGAGTGCGTATCATCAAATACCTTTAAGAGAAGATGACAAGCCTTACACTGCGTTTGAAGCTAAAGGTGGGCTTTATCAGTTTACCAGGCTTCCTTTCGGTGTAACCAACGGTGTAGCCTGCTTCCAAAGAGAAATGATGAGATTTGTTGAAGATAACCACTTGAAAGCTGTGTTTCCATACATCGACAACATAACTGTATGTGGAAAGGATCAAGCTGACCATGATGCTAACCTCATATTATTCCAGGAGGCTTCTCAAAAGGCGAATCTTAAATTCAACGACAGCAAAAGCGTCTTCTCTGCTCAACGACTGCCATTACTGGGATATGTCATTGAAAATGGTTCTATTAGTCCAGACCCCGAAAGATTAAGGCCTCTACTGGAGCTCCCACTGCCGCAAAGCTCAAAGGCTCTTAATAGATGTCTGGGACTTTTCTCTTACTATTCTCAATGGGTTCCTTGTTTCGCCGACAGAATTAAACCCATAACCAGCTGTAGATCATTTCCTTTATCTTCTGAAGCACAGAAAGCATTTGAAGACTTAAAGAGTATCATTGCCAAAGCTGCTGTCTCTGCCATAGACGAAAGTATTCCATTTGAGGTGGAGACAGACGCCTCAGATGTAGCGCTAGCCGCTACCCTAAATCAGAAGGGCAGACCTGTAGCCTTTTTCTCCCGCACCCTTCAAGGTAGTGAACTGAAACACTCTGCTGTAGAAAAGGAGGCTCAAGCAATAGTTGAGTCGGTCAGGCACTGGAGACATTTTCTCACCGGGTCCCATTTCACCCTAAAAACGGACCAAAAGTCAGTTTCCTACATGTTCAACCAGCGTCATCAAGGAAAGATTAAGAGTGACAAGATAATGCGCTGGAGGATTGAACTGAGTTGCTATAGCTTTGACATAGAGTATCGACCAGGCAGGGATAATGTAGCACCGGATACCTTCTCACGAGCCACGTGTGCTTCTAGCGTCAGTGATGCTCTCTACAAGCTCCATGATTCGCTCTGTCACCCTGGGATTACCCGATTATGGCATTTTATTCGAGTCAAGAACTTGCCTTATTCTCTAGAAGATGTTAGGAGGACTGTGAACTCCTGTCCAATCTGTTGTGAATGTAAACCGGTATTCCACCGCCCGGACCCAGTTCAACTTATAAAAGCTACCCAACCCTTTGAACGAATCAACATTGACTTTAAAGGGCCACTTCCTTCCAACGACAAGAACAAATACTTCCTGAATGTTGTTGATGAGTTTTCACGGTTCCCGTTCGTTTTCCCTTGCCCTGATGTGTCTACTCCGACCGTTATAAAGTGTCTCACCACATTGTTTTCTCTATTTGGTATGCCTGCCTACGTGCATTCTGACAGAGGGGCTTCGTTTATGAGTCAAGAGTTACGGGAATTCCTCTCTAGCAAAGGTGTATCTACAAGTCGTACAACCAGTTATAACCCCACATGTAATGGTCAAGTTGAGAGGTACAATGGCACTGTATGGAAGGCGATTACAACGTCTCTTAAGTCAAAGAAGCTTCAGGCAGAACAGTGGCAATTGGTCCTGCCAGATGTGTTGCACTCGATCCGTTCTCTTCTGTGCACCGCAACGAATGAGACTCCGCATGAACGTTTCCTGAACTTTTCACGCCGTTCATCCACAGGTAGTTCGATCCCCTCTTGGCTGGCTGAACCTGGCCCTGTTTATGTAAAGCGTCATGTACGACACAGTAAGTTTGATCCTCTGGTTGAAAAAGCTGTTGTTCTCCAGACCAATACTCACTACGCTCACGTTCGTTATCCTAATGGCAGAGAAACAACAGTTTCAACCAAGAATCTTGCTCCTTGTGGTCAAGTGGAACTTCTAGAACCACCCTCTTCAATCCAGCTCCCAGTCGTTAAACCCAATATTTCTAGTGAGTTTTCTCCCGTCAACGATCATCATGTTGATAAGACGCAAGAACCAACTAAAGAACCAGAACCCACAGAATTGAGGAGATCACAGCGAGAGCGCCGCCCTGTAGATAGGCTCAATTTATAGGAAGGGGTGAATGTAGTGACAGTCGAACATTGGAAACTTCATTTAAGTAACTTTACCGGTACTCGTAATTTACATTGTTAATGTTATTGTTAATCCGGGATACCGATACCTTTTAGTGCCCGTCAACACATATGTCAGCGGACTCGTTCTGTGAAGACGCCATTTTGTGAAGTATATGTAGCACGAGGTTTTTGTAGATTAAAGCCTTTAGAAACGAGGCCAAACGTTTGTTTAACTATCATAACATGTATAATGTTATTTTGGTGTCTGGTGAAAACTACGCAAAGCCTTTGTATAAAAAAAATTGTGCTTAAATATTTTTTATGCCTTGTTGCTGTTCTTTTGGCGAAGCTTGAAAAGATCACGCTTTGTTTTATTTTTTTCCCTTCTTCTTGAGTCCCATTAATTTCAAACGGTAATTTCCTGATACAGTTACGTGTTTACTTTTAACTATGAAACAGTTTTAATCCAATGAAATGTCATATTCCAGCAAACATTCTCAATTTAGCGACATAATCCTACCAAAAATTCATATGCAACTTAGGATGTTACTGTTAGACGATTTCTAAGCAATTCTCCCGTGCTTCCACGTTTTGTGCCAATCAAATTCGCTTCTAGCTACCTTGGACCTCACCCCATTACTTGTCAATTCCTTGTAAAGAACCTGCATTTTATCAATTATTCCGCACGCACGCGACAAAGTCTAGATAGACAACAGCAAAACAAAGAAGCCCACGTTGTTATGCCCACTAGAAAGCTTTTAAAATATAATACTTTCTTCTTTGTTCAAATAATATCACTTGTTCAAAGAACAGAGACGGAAAAAAATTTTTGGTTAGAAGTTATTGGAGATAAAATAGAGTTTCTTTAGTCGGTTTGCTTTCCACAGCGAAATAACGTGGAATAATATTTTTGAGGCAGCTAGCTGTAACTGAATAATTTCGATCTTGTCTCTGACGAAGAAAGTGAAGAAATAGCAGTAACCACGGCAGGCCGTTATCATTAGTGCCACGGGACGCGAGTTTCCCTGCCCGCGGAAATTTTTGAGACAATCAGCGCTAATTGTCAGTGCTAAACAGTTGTTTCGCCACTAGGCAATCTCGCCACTACCAAGTCGCCACCATTAAACTCGCCACCAAGGTTGTTAGCTAATTTGATATAAATTCAAAGCATTACGTGACTCTTCAGTTTGATCTTTAGTCTCCTGGGCATCGCCGTAAGAATGTCACAGGCAATAACGGAGAGCCGTGCTAAAGGCTCAACAGGTTTTTGAAGATGGCGGAAGGTGAGTCAAATGCGTGTAACGATCGGAAAGGCACCAATTGATATGATCAAAGATGACAACAAGATATTAAACGAACTATCAGACGATGAAGTCTAGTCTGTAAATATTTGGAATGTACATCAAAGAAAAAGTGACATTAAATTCTCAATCGAATGCGAACGAAGAGCAATCGAGAAGAAATGTTATCGATCGCATGCATTTTTTGTCGACAACATGAGTGCTTTGAGGTTTGAAAGTTCACAAGGGAATACTTGTAATACTTGGAATACTTTTTACCCTTAACAATAACGAGCAACAAGTTAGAGCTCCAGCAAACGTATATTTATTTAATCTAACATTTAATAGCTTCACTTAAAACAATTACAGCAATGGCTACCCCTGGTGGCGAGATCGATTACACTTTGGTGGGGGGCTTGATAGTGGCGAGGAGACTGGGTATCTTGCAGACCTCTCTCGGGCTCGTGTGACTCAAAGCCTCATACTTTCTCATGGGCGAGGAAACTCACGTGACAAAATGCTAATAATGAGGGCTTGCCTACAGACTAGCGTTATCTCCTTCGCAGTCGATGTTTGGTCTCGTCACGCAACAGGGGGAGAGAATGCGTTGCGTGACGAGATCAAACAATTGAAAACCATGATTGCGAAAAAAAAAAAGGATTGCGAAAAAAAAAAAGGAAAGTCTTTATACAGGCCCAAATGGCCTATGTGGAGGGCGCTTAACTCCGGTTTCCTTAGCATGAAGCGGCTAGGAGGATTGCTTCTCCCCCCCTGGATGGGATGCTTATCCATCGCAGGGTTACCCCCAGCATATTTACTGGTACCCATTTGTACAACTGGGTGAAGAGAAGCACTGTGCGAGTAAAGCGTCTTGCCCAAGAACACAACACAAGGACCCCGGCCAGGGCTCGAACCCGGACCACTCGATCCGGAGTCGAGCGCACTAACATGAGGCCACCGCGCCTCCTTATAACGGCTGCGAAGGAGAGTACAATTTTCGCATACAATAACAGTAAGTAACGATGACAATAGACCACGAAATACCTGTTTCTAATTTGATTTCAGATAAGTCTGAGGTTCTTTTCCCTCTACATCGAAGATATTTTTGTTGAAATCTTTTGAAAATGAATTTATTTTTCTTTTACAAAAAATGCAAACATCAGTAACTTAGTGACCCATTCCAACCCACCCATCCCAAAAGGTAACTCTTGCGTGCGTAGCATGCCTAATAAAATGTCTCTTATAGCTTTGTTTAGCAGCTGTTTTATCACACTAACATAGTTACCAAGCTGGTCAGACTGACTTAGCATAGTGTAACCGGGGACAAGTTAGGTACCACAGTTTTACTATGTAATGAAACTCCTTCACGTAAAAAAATCCGTCATCATTTCTGACCTATTTATTAGAGCCACTGCTGGTGTTGATAGAATATGTTCCTTTTGGAGACCTGCTGGGCTACCTGAGAAAGAGCCGTGGACTTAATGACACTTATTATAAAGACCCGGATATCAAACCACAAACAAACTTAAGATCACAGCAGCTGATGAAGTTCGCATGGCAAATCGCTGATGGCATGAGCTACTTGTCGTCGAAATCTGTAAGTTTAAGAAGTTTGGAACTATTTGTCACATTAAATCAGATAGAAATGGTTCTAAATGTTTTTCTTTTTAGAAATAATTCTGCTACCTCAAACATTTACATAACACGTAATTGAGGAATTTCGTACCTGTCGAGTATTCGAGTGTCGAATAGTAGAAAGATGCCTCTACATCTTCTTACCATTGGACGGGACACTTGTCTGAAGGGCACACAGATTTGAATAGTGATAATGATCACAATTTTTACAATGACAATGATAATAGTAATGATGACGATGACAATAATAATGATATTTACAACAATGATAAATATCGTTATCCTTTTGAGCTGGGGCAAATAATCAGATAGAGTGCTTTTGTTTGCTTGTTACTGAAGGAATTTCGGATTTTCATTGTGGTTACCGCCCCATATTGGAGGCGAAGCCACATATGTCGTCGGAATTAGTGAATGAGTGATGGTAAGTAACAATAGAATGCAGAATTTCACCCGATTTCGACCCGATTTTTCCCGGTGTTACTTATTTTTTGCTTCGGAGTATCTGAGTAGTTTGATATTCGCACTGACTTCACAGTTGAGTTATTTACTTTTGGGATTCCTAGCCTATTGCCTCTAAGGCATTATGTTATCGTCCTTGTAAGTCCGTAAGTAAATAAGAAATTGCGAGACTTTTCGGAAGCTGTTGAAGAAATCTCACGCAACCACTTTAGAATTTACCTGAATTAATTGAATCAATTTTCACCCTTTAACACCTGCTTTTTACAATTAATACCTAGTAACGTTGCATCAAATGTCACCTTATGAGTCAACAGATATGAAACACGAGCCATAGGAACAGTCAAAGTTCACTGCTGACTGACTCAATTCAATCATCTTATGTAAACGTTGGCGGCTGCCGCATGTGAAAGAATGTTCTCAATAATAAGAATGCCGAACTTCACTTTATAATTTGCCTCTGACTATCTTCGTTGTTTAACATTCTTTCTCCATATCATCTACCACAACCGCGTTTTAATCAGCGAATTATGCCTAGTAGATTCGAAATTAAAATTTGTCAGGATTTGCCTTGACATTACGAAAGACTTCAAATAAATTCACAATCTCTCCGAAGCGTAATTTTAATCACGAACAAGATAGAACTTGTCCTTGCAAAAAAATGGGAAAAAGGTGTGATCTACCCGTCATGGAAACTTTGAGGGAAAATGTTCCTCTTTGTAGAAAGAACATTATATTGTCTGAAACAGCCACATATGCCCGAGAGAGTCGCTAAATTTGGGAAGCGAGCAATGAGCGAAGTTTAACAGGCTGATCCTATTCAGCGGAACAATGGAACGGTAGATTGTTGCAACGGTGGTATGACGTAATATTCTTAAACACGAAATGACGGAATGCCTTGTTGTATGAAACAAAAGTCTCACAAAAATAGAATTGGAATGTAATAAGAAAACTATTTTTAAAGAACAGGCAAAATCAAAAGAAGCATTGTCTGATAATTATTGGAGCTCAGAGGATGGAGGAATCGTGAGGCTTTTGAGCTAGTTCCTCTTAATTGTCATTACCATTGTTATCATTATTATTATTACAGTAAATGGTTGGAACCCGGGGGTAACATGTAATAGTGTAGTTTGATCGTCCGGGTGAGTGTAGTCCTGAGAAGGACTGTTGTCGGTAGTGCTGACTAGTCGACACCAGTCACCACTACCGGCAACAGTCCATCTCAGGACTACACTCACCCGGATGATCAAACTACACTATTAAATTATTATTGTTATTGTTAATAGGACTATTTGTTACCGTTTAATTATATGTCTATTAGTCACTATATCCTTGAATCATCTTTAATTTCTCATGTGGAACAGGGTAGTCATATTATATATATATGTACATCATATTATACAACCTCTGTTAGTGTTCAATGCCCTAAAAATTGTGCTATATCAGTGGCTACGTGTAATCTCAGACCGGCGGCCTATTTTTTTCTCCTTCCTGTTAGATCATCCACCGAGACCTCGCAGCTCGTAACGTGCTGGTCGGAGAAAATGAAACATGTAAAGTAACAGATTTCGGAATGGCTAGAAATGTGCAAGAGGAAAATATCTATGAGAGAAAGACAAAGGTAATTAGAAAGAAATAGGCTTTGCTTCAGTCCATGACATGTATTTGTCATGAGTGTGCTCTGTTCTGTTGTAAACCACGTAGGAGGCGGCTGGATCACGAAAGAAGCCAAGTGTAGGGAGAAACATGAGACGTAGTCGAGTGTTTCCCCCCACTTCTTGAGTGCTCCAGCTGCTTTCTAAGTGCTTTACAACAGAACAGAGCACAGTGAAGGCTTCTCTATTTGTTTCATAATAAATAATCCTTTAAATTCCCCACGCGTTACTTTTAGTTTTCAAAACAAGCTTTATTTCCAAAGCGAGCAACAGTGTCGTCAGCATACTCTATACCCTCATAAGGCACGCTACAATAAGCTTATCAGAATCTTTGTTGGAATGGTTCAAATAGTCTGATTGGTTGAACAAGACTAAAGCTGTCAAAAATGACAAACCATCAAAGTTCACAATCTGCAATAGTTTACAAAGTAAAAAGTGAAATATTCAGCGAAATCCGACCGAATTGTGGCTCATAAAAGGACGTAAGTTTTTACTTAGACAATTAGAGAACAAACTGCTCGAGGCGTGTGTTTTATGAATGAACGACAGCCTAATTCACTGGAACATGAAGATTGCTCGAGCTCGGAATGACAGCATCGTAAAACTCGGCTGCTGTGACCGACGTGGCCTTCCAGTCAATGCATCGGAAAGAGTATTAGAGCAAGCCCTTAGTTGTTCACTCGAAGGGCGGCCGATGTAGTATCTGAGGCTTGCTTCACTGCGATGAGCGATGACCGGGGATCGCCATGATAATCTAGCCGCGATGAACCTCAGCAGGATCGCAGTCGCTCTGACGCTGTCATTATTAGTATGAATTTTAACAGTTATGCCAGTCTTGCTATATTTTTCATCATTCCTGTTTTGTTCTGTTTTGCTTTTGAGATAACAAAGGAAGTGAAAGATGAGTTGCATTACTACAGTACAGGCTTAGTTCTTGGAGAATGTTACTCCTCACCTTATCAACCTTTTATAGAAAATTAAGGTTATATTTAAGTGATGATGTAGTTGATAATGTGTTGCAAAGACTGCGAAAAGTGCCTGTCATTTGTTAAGGATAGCAGCCAGTGTGCTTAGACATGTAATCGATGAACTCACTTTGGTGAAATGATGTCAATTCTGGCAAACGCTGATCAAAATTAGCAGACAGTATCGTTTGCTGTTAGTTCAACAGTTGGGTATATAACGGTGCTTTCCCAGCTTAATTCGAGGTAGAAGTTTTGGATGGGATGAATTTTGGTCAATGTTGAGCGTTTGTGAATTTTGAAGTTACCTAGGGGACAGAGTAGGAAAGTGTAGTTTCTTTGAAAGAAATTCCTCGTAGAGTGAATATTTTCTTCATTGAGAAAGGAGGCATGGTTATTGCACTGGCGATCCTGAATATCTTAAAAGAGCGTCTCCGAGTCACATAGTCGTTCATTATCCTCAGCCTCAATATTCTTAACCGAAATTTTTTTCCAATCAAAATTTTTAGGGTCGCCTTCCAGTAAAGTGGACAGCTTATGAAGCGCTGTTATATGGAAAATATACCACCAAAAGTGATGTGTAAGTCCTGTGCAATGAAGTTTTACTCCATTTTCTGTGTTCTTAACTATAAAGATGTACTTGTGGCAGTAGTTTTATAGGATTTATTGATGGTGTTCCACAAGTCTTTAGTATAATCAAGTTATGTATGTTGCTATAAGTTGTAATACTTTCAAGGGACAGGAAAGCCGAATGTTTTAAAATGTCTGATAGTTATTGAGTTTTCCGCATTGTTTTATTGCCTCATAGATGGAGCTATGGAGTTGTCCTTTATGAGATTTTTACAATAGGTAATACTTATTTTTTAGTTTTTAACGATTTACATCAGGCCAGCAACAAAGAGAGTCTCATGCCCACAACATGTTTTAACTGGGTTGATGTTTTATAACATTAAAGGGTGGCTGGGGTTAGTCTTTGAAGGGGATCTTCCATTCCACTTACTAGGTAAGGGTTAAACTTGAGAACAGAGATTTTCTTTGTGGGTTTACTCACAAGAAAAGCGCTCGGCAGCGTAATTTTTCCGATCATTAAAAGTTTGGTATTTCATCTTTTAGTGGATCATTGAATCTCTACATTTGTCTTTTTGGCATTCAATGCCATGAAAATGAAGGAAATTCAAATAATGCACACATTTTTAAATTATACGACTCATTGCTGGTGTGCATTGGTTTTCCCGAAAGAAATACCCGAAAAGAATTTACGTTAAAAGGTTACCAGTCGTTTCGTACCCACGGTCGTTTCGTGCCCAGCTGGTTAGTCTTGTACCCAGTCGTTTGAGTCGTTTCGTACCCAGCTCGGTTGTTTCTTAGCTAGACTTATAAAGAATGTTTTCCGCGTTCAGATTGTTTAAAGTATGGTTGGTTTTTTATTGTGAATAGCGATAATACCTGCGTTAAATAAGTTTTGTTAACATGGTGTCCATTTTTGAAGCGCGTCCACCGAGAATGTCCAAATTACATTATTAATTTAGTCGATAAACTAAACCGCCAAATATAAGGCCTGGAACCGAAAAAGGGGGGTCTGAGAGTCATAAGACAGACGAGAAGAATATTTCTACCAGAAACATTTATACTTTTCTCCCATCCCTAATTAACATACATTACAACATAATGCTTACATTTATTTTATTTTATAATGGCGATAACAATGGTAGAAATAATATCTCACTTACACTTGTTAGACGAGGTCACAAGTATAAACAATAGACTTTTCCAATGAGAATGTAACACTTACCTTGTCAAGCATAGCTATAGAATTCTGCTTGTGATGCAATAGACTACAAAGTTTCTTTAAATCAGGTGGTTCACCGTATCCGCGGATGGATGGCAGGAAAATTGCCAGCTTACTTCAGCAGGGATACAGAATGCCTAAACCACAACATGTGGATGATAAATTGTAAGCGGAAAAGTTTCTTTGAGGCTAACGCTCTAAAGAGACCTGAAAATTTTATTGTGCCTTTGATTCTACGACTTTTAAGTTATATTTAATAAGAGATTAAAAAGCTTCAAACTATTGCATCTTTTTCTCCATCAGTAATTGAATTTATTCCTTTCTTTACGGAGATTTTCATTGTTTAAAATTTGAAATATATTAGCATATCGATTAGCATATCCACATTCGAGAAAATAACAAGTTAAACAATTTTGTGTGATAGCGATGAGTTCATCGTGAAAACAACTCATGTGTTTCGTTTCAATTTGATTTAATATACCATACGTATATCAAGTACCAACCTGTTTTAAATGAAACGTAGGTACGACATGATGTTGAGATGCTGGCAAGATGACCCGGGTACAAGACCAACCTTCTTTGATCTAAGAAACCAGCTCAAAACAATGGAAACATTGCACAAGGTAAACTTTTTGCATTCAGTTATCTTACAAGGGGTCATTATAGAATACGTCGAGTTGTTTATAAAATTTTTAATAACATCAAAGTGATCATGATAAACTCGTCAACTATGTTCCTTCACTCTCCATCAAGTTGCTTAACTAAGAACAACTGAAGACTTCGTTCATAGTTGCCAAGCGTTTGAGCATTTAATTAGATAAAGTCATGCAGAAATAAAGAATTCTTGATGGACATTGGGGAAATTATGTTATACTTTTCTTTCGTCCACAGAGGCTGATCAACATGAAAATCTACGACAAGCAGTTGTACGCAAACGTTGAGGATTTGGTGGAGTAGGTGATGACAAGTTGTCAGGGTTTGAGGAAGGAAATTATTCTCCCCTCTTCAATTGACGTTCTAAAAAATTATAAGATCACAAGGCGACGAATTTCAAGGCTAATGTTAGTGAAGTACCCACACTTTAATTGTAGTTAGTTTATTTTTTTTCATTCAATTTAGATTTAGTATAAAGCAGGCGTTTGCATAACCAAAACAAAGTATCTTCAATAAACAAAAATAAAATATGAGACAAATTTGTCAAAACTGACGGGTAGTTTCCCTCTGTCAGAGTTCCTTTATTTTTGAAACCGTTGACTGGGTATGTAGATTTATATTGCATGCTTAAGTATGTATTACAATTCGTTAATTTTATCAGAAATGTGCGTTTGAGTGACCAAGTTTTTAGAATTGGTTCAAAAAAGACAGTAAGGCATGTAGAGGCTATTATAGAGAGAAATCCTCCCTTTGGAGGTGGTTATCTTCATTATCATAATCATCATTATCATTATGACTAGTATTATTATCATCATTATTATCGTTATTAACATTAGTCTTTTTATCATTGTTATAATCATGATCATAGAAATTACAATTTCCTCCATTGTGATTGGGTTTAGAATCTCCTTTTTTCCTCTAATTCTCTCGTCAAGTTGTTTTTGAACAGTTTGTTATCGGGCAGTTCAATTAGCCAATCACATTCAAAGGTAAAGTGTAAATCCGCCAATCACATTCAAAGTTGCAATTTGAATCGACCAATCACAACCATTCTACAGTTTACGCCGCCTTTGTCAGTGTCTTAATGTAAATTTTCCCTTTCTTTCATAACTTGACTATTCTTCTCTTCCCGGAATTTGAAATTTTTATGATTAAATGCTTAATTGGTAATAAGACTTTGTGTCGTCCAATTTGGTCTGTAATCACACTCATGATAAACAAATCAGACTCCCGCTGCGCCTCACATTTTCCTCTTACCATGCAGCTAGTTTTAATATTTCTTGGTTCCTTTCAGAACCTCGACACTATATATACGTATCAGTATGCTCAATTCCAGCTATATATTTGAAATGCTTTGCGGTAATTTCGTTCACATGATCACGCAAAGAAAATAACCCTAGGGCTGATTTCAAATGCAAAATATGTCAAGTGAGTTTGAAATAAGGGTCATGGCGAAATTTTAAGGCTTTGTATGGGATTATTTACGACCTCCATTAGGAATAAAAAAAATAAGTCAAATTGTCAATAAAAATACCTCACCTTACTTCTACAGTGTGTTCCTTGTTGTCTGACCGCTTACTGTGTTGAAAGGAACCCATTTTACTGAGTTATCCATTACTACTCAAAAGAGATGCCCAAGGGTGCACACTCCATTTCCGGACACCCGATCCGAGAAGCGAAAAATCCTGGCTCGAAATTACTGGGCGGCCATAAATTCAACGTAGAATCCGAGCATATATACTGCAGTCTCATTTCAATTCACTACCAACTCAATCCTCCCCGTGAAACCAACGCCGAGCCGCTGTTTGCTTCTAAAATTTTCAGTTTAGACGTCCCTAACGACTCCCCGTATACATTCACGACTCACGACCGTTGAAAACCAGCTCGACAACCCTGCCTCCTTTGCAAGCCTCGCCTCGCCAGGAACCACACCGTCACTTGGCACCGTGGTTCTAGAACAAGTCGTTCATGTAATTATTGTTGCAGCCCAGACCCCAGAGGATAGGGGAACCATGATCTAGCTCCTTTGAATTAGTGGTGTATAACGATTGTTATTATCACCGTAATTGTTAATGTGATGTTTTTGTTGCTACTATTTAAATATCGTTGGATTTTCAGTTAGTCAATAGATTATTTAGTCGTCTTTCTTTTGAGGAACAGGATACTCATATTAATGTGGTATGCGGTAGATGAGAATACAAATCTTCTGCAACTCTACATTTTACTGTGATTACACAACCTGTATTTTTGCTCAGTGCATAAAAATTGTACGCTGGTGCACCCTATTTTACCCTCGAGACCTCACCATTTATAAGCTCAAGCCAAATAACCACATGTAGTCACTTTCACGGCTGTGTCAAGGAATGCGCCATGGACGAAGGCGGGCGAGAGGTACGTATCATTTCATCAGTCGGTTATTATTTCTTTTTTTTAATATCATGTGCTATCGTGCTACTGTCCAGGCCGGACATATAAAGCAATCCAGGGCTTTATCACAAGAACAGCCCTCCAAAGACAACGTCTTTACAAACGTAACAAATCGCCAGCACAACAACCTTTCATTTTGGATTACGAACTCGTAGAGCCGTACTAACCTGAGAAACACAACGAAGATTACCTAGCGAAGCGAAATTCGAAACAGAAACTATCTAAACTTATCATATGATGAAAGGAGGTAAACAAGAGAGACAAATCACAATTTCAAAGCAAACTAGCTTCATCACATGCGATTGAAAAAAATTAAAATGAAAAGAACAAGCTACTGAGGCATCATGGTCTTACGTATCTATAGCAAAATATAGAGCTGCGGAATGGACTTAACGACTTGTTGAGGAATATCCTCAACATGCTACTTTTCCTTTATTCGACATCATTTAAGGAGTAAGATTGTTTTAGATATGATTACTGAAGTGCACGTAAGCGATTTATGGAGCCCATGTCGCACACGTTTTTTGAAACAATTTTTTAATTTGTTAAATCTAAATTATTGAGCAGCACTCTGCGAACAGTAGTTAAAAAATGTGAAAAAATTTGTTAGGCGAGATGTGAAAAAGATTTGGGAGCCTGTTCCTGTTCGCTGTTCGTTAGTCCAGCCAACCCTAAATGGTCTTTGGCTCTCGTAATAGCCGCTAACCTGGGCTCTAAAGTACAGGCGTTTAGTGAGAACTTATAAAACTCCCTGAAGAAGTCTACAACAGTTGGACAAAACGCGTCGGAGAATAAAGAAGTTTTACAACTACTATTCGTAGAGTGCTGCTAACTAATTTAGTTGTCAAAAACTATTCGACTCAACTCGTTAGACTAAAACGTTTTCTTTTCCGGTTGCAGTTTTGAATTTCTATGGTCTTTTTTCTCAGGAAAGTTGAAAACTTTTCCCGAGTGCGAGCGGATATATGATGATTTCAGAACTGCACTAATCGACAAAAATCTTCTGTTATCTCTTTGGTCATTAGTTCAATATGCTCGTGGTATTTAAATCGCTTAGCGTGTAAAAAATGCAATTCAGGTGAAGAGGGAATTAACAAGTTCATGAAAGATATAATAACTGACTGATTTTTTTTTTCCTTTTTTAATTTAATAAACATTTATTGAAGAAACATTTGCACAGAACTAAACTTACATTACTCTACTTACATCACTCGACATCACTCTAGTTATTACATTACTGTACCTATTGGATTAGACACTAATACTTATTTCTTACTTATACTAACAGTCACTTACTAACAGTCACATATTACAGCGTAATGTTATTTACATCACACTACTAAAGAGAACATGACTTACATACATTACAATACAAAACTCGCAATTCACTAATTAAGCTCACTTGCCTACTTAGAATTACTTGAGTACTTTACAAAACGGCACCTTAATTACTTTCTACGAACACTACAAAATAAATTTAGAGACAGAGCCGGTAGAATAAAAAAGGGTAAGAGTTTGGGCTTTGATTTAGTGTGTCTGTTTCAATTGGCTGTTAAATCAGAAAAAAAGGCTTCGCGGGAAAATCTTTGACTTAGGGAAGAGCGCATTTCTCTATTTGCCATTGTGGTATAGCTTTTCTTTTGAATTGCTGCATGTTTGGTTTTTTGTCTAAACATTTACAAGCGTAAATGTATTCTTTTATAATAATGACGAATGTAATGTCGGTGTCATTTTCCACTTGTGTCCACCTAGCCCTTCCCTCTTTATCTTTACTGTGGAATTGCTAGCATTGAAGATCCGCCAGAGCCCGAACTGCAGAGGTATACGTTATCAAACAACAAAGAAGCGAGAATTTTGCAATTTGCTGACGATACAACCATCATAACAAATAGTACAGATTCTCTCAAATCACACCTCCAAACATCTTTATTAGCTATAACGTTAGGTGAGTCCCAATTAGTCTACGCAACATATTTGCTCTCTGTTCCAGATGCAGTTATCAAAATTGTCCAGACACAACTCTTCTCTTTCCTATGGAAAAACAAAAAAGATAAAATAAAGAGAGCAGTTATACATCAGCCCCTGGCGGAAGGTGGACTAAATTTTATTAATTTTGCCACAATGGTGAAATCGTTACGCTTAGCATGGATAAGTAGGTTACTAGGTGATACCGACGACTCATGGAAAGTAATCCCGAATTCCTATCTTTCAGAGTACGGCGGCCTTCAGTTTCTTCTTAAATGCATCTATAATGCTGAATCCATAAACATAGGTTTACCTAATTTCTGTCGAGAACTGCTACAATATTTCCAAGAACTTAAAAACGAGACCAATATATATAGCGAGTTCTTACTGTGGAACAACAAGGCCATAACCATTGAAAATTATCCCGGTTTTTAGAGATCCTGGTTCAAACGGAAAATTCTTTATGTACAAGATGTCCCAAGTGCGAATGGAAATTTTTAACAATTGAAGAATTCCAATAACTTACTGAGGAAATGATACGTACCTCTCGCTTGCCTTCGTCCATGGCGGAACTACACAACATCAGTCGTGTTTGCCTAATGTTTACTACGGTTTGCTTCACATTTACTTTTCTGGACTCTAAATTAGTCTTGCGCTCCTTTGAATCACTTTTTTCAAGAATAAGTCTACATTTATTATTTTTATTGTTTATCTTGTACCTCTAACTAGTAGGAATTTTCAAATCAGTTAAAGAAAGCAATTCTGTCATGGAATCATCATTTATGAAACAGTAGTAGAAAACATGGTGGTTATTACTCCTGGAAAGCAGAAATGCCAATCTTTTGTGCGCTCCATTTCATTCTATTTGTATATACAAACGCACTCTGTATAACTATTTTCCCAGCTGTGATCCTATTTTTTTTTAATTTCTCAATTATATACTTTTTCGCTTCAAGGCAGGCAAAGGACACAGAAAACTGGCATCTGTAGGCTCATGGATTAACATATCTTTCAACATTACAATCATATGTTTGTCACCTTAGCATTTTTTCGTTCGTTGCTTATCAGCTGCATGCCTGTCAGTGCCGTCATGGCAATCATGTAAATGCTTTTCAGTTATAATAAAAGGATCTCCATCATATGTGATCCTTGGTTGGGACATTGCATTCTGGGAATCTTAAAAAGATACCTTTTTTCCTTTTATTTCTACATTCTCTGTAAGTCTGTACGGGAGGCATGTGCTGTAAGTATTGACTTCTGGATCAGATTGAAATAGGGTATTAAAAACCACATATAAACCCCCTTTTTCAGGCTATTCACCACATTTTAGCTACTGAAGTTCTGTAGTTCTTTTATTTTTTTAATCCTATTCCATTTTTTCCAATTTTTGCAAAAAAGCAAAAAAAAAAAAACCACATAGTAAGTGAATTACGCACCTGTCTTAAAGAGTACAATTGATTTGAAATTTTTATGTAATGCTTTGATGGGAAGGTTTTTGGATCCTCTCTTCCCCCCCCCCCCCCCTTCTTGATCTCCCCATAACCTCTAAACCTCTGCATCCCTCCACTTAACATTCCCTCTCGTAAGCAGAGTTCATCTGAGGCGCCCCTCTGACTTTAGACTTACCTTTGCCAACACCGTAGCTGTAGTACATAACAAAGCTAGTTGTTGTTTCCACTTCGTGTTCGTGCAGTAGCTCCTCAGCTGATCTTACATCAGGCAAAAAATTAAAAGTCTCAGAGATGTTTTTAGATGACTTGGTTCGAAGATACACGGACAGAGAAGCTGATTTCAAGATAGAGGGAATCTTAGGAAAATTACTCTTTAAAATTGTATTCAATTTGATTTTCCAACACTTATTCCTACGCACTGACTAAGTCACGCGTCTGACTTGCGTTTTTGTTTCACTTGTGATCCCTTTGACTTCCGTCTCCGGCCCCAGGAAAATAGTGCTCTAGTGCATCCCTACAGGGATAGATCAGCGGAACCCTACCTTGATTATATTTAGTAGCCCTTGAGAAAGAATCCACCGTTGATAAACAAGAAAGAGGAGTTGAAAACTGTCTGTTACAAGTTATTTATTTGCGTGACTTTCATTTAGCTTCATACGCGCGCGTGATCAATATCGGCGCCAT